GACGTAGACCAGGACCAGATAAAGACCTGGACCAGAGACCACAGAGAGAGAGACCAGAACCAGAAAGGGAGAGAGAGAGACCAGAACCAGAGAGAGAGAGACCACAGAGAGAGAGACCAGAACCAGAAAGGGAGAGACGGGGACCAGAACCAGACAGAGAGAGACCAGAACCAGATCCAGAGAGACCAGAACCAGAGAGAGAGACCAGAGAGATGGAGACCAGGACCAGAGACCAGAGAGAGTCCAGAACCAGAACAAGAGGGACCAGAGAGAGAGAGAGAGAGAGAGAGAGGGAGAGACCAGAACCAGAGAGAGAGACAGACCTGGACCATAGAGAGAGAGAGAGACCAGAACCAGAGAGAGAGAGAGAGAGAGAGACCAGAACCAGAGACCGTGCATCACTGTTGAAGCTGGTCTGGTCCAGATTGGCTGGATTTCCACGTGTGTTTTCCACGTGTGTTTTTCCAGGTGAACGACGACCAGCTGGAGAAGGCCCCCAAGACCTTCCCCCACAACCCCCCGAAGACCAAGGAGGCCTACTACTTCCGGCAGGTGTTTGAGCGCCGGTACCCGGACCGGGCCCAGTGGCTGCCCCACTACTGGATGCCCCGCTGGCTCAAGGCCTCCGACCCCTCCGCCCGGACCCTGGCCATCTACACCCCCGACAAGGACCAGGGGGCGGGGGGGGGGGGTTCAGAGTCCCAGTCCGGGTTTAATGGGTCTACTCTGCTGTCCGTGGAACAAAAATGAAATGGTGATTAGGAAGCACTTATACAATGATTCTGGCCTTTGGTCTGGTCTCTATCGGGTCTTTCTCTCTATCGGGTCTCTATCTCTATCCGGCCTCTATTGGGTCTTTATCTGGTCTCTCTCTCTATCTGGTCCTTGTCGGGTCTCTATCCGGACTCTCTCTCTATCCGGTCTTGATTGGATCTCTATCGGGTCTCTCTCTCTCTATCTGTTCTCTATCGAGTCTGGATTGGGTCTCTCTCCGGCCTCTATCGGGTCTCCATCTCTATCCGGCCTCTATTGGGTCTTTATCTGGTCTCTCTCTCAATCTGGTCTCTATCAGGCCTCTATCGAGCCTCTATCGGGCCTTTATCGGGTCTCTCTCTACATCCGGTCTTGATTGGATCTTTATCTGGTCTCTCTCTCATTTGGGTCTCTTTCTCTATCGGGTCTGGATCGGGTCTCTATCGGGTCTCTATTGGGTCTCTATCTGGCCTCTATCCTGTCTTGATTGGATCTTTATCTGGTCTCTCTCTCTATCGAGTCTTGATCGGGTCTCTATCCGGACTCTCTCTCCATCCGGTCTTGATTGGATCTCTATCTGGTCTCTCTCTCAATCAGGTCTCCATCCGGTCTTGATTGGATCTCTATCTGGTCTCTCTCTCAATCAGGTCTCCATCCGGTCTTGATTGGATCTCGATCTGGTCTCTCTCTCTATCGGGCCTCTATCTGTTCTCTATCGAGTCTTGATCGGGTCTCTATTGGGTCTCTCTCCGGTCTTGATCGGGTCTCTATCTGGCCTCTATCCGGTCTTAAGCGGGTCTCTATCTGGACTCTCTCTTTATCTGGTCTCTATTGGGTCTCTATCCGGTCTTGATCGGGTCTCGATCTGGTCTCTCTGTCTCTCTCTGGTCTCCATCTGGTGACGGTAAAATAAGGTGTCATATCTGTTTATTTCATTCCCCCCCCTCCTTGATAAATGAGTTTGAGGAAAAACCACTACTGAGCAACAGGGAATGTAACAGGACTCCTAATCTGAGCCTGAAGCTGATCGGAGGAGGTTTTTAACGTTAGTACGCTTAACAAAGCTCACATGTTAAATAAGAAAACGATGGAAACTTCTCCTCAGGAGCTCGTGGGGACGATAATTATTTAAAAATAAGATAAAAACTAAGCTTTTCAGCAGAAAAACTGCTT